CACACACACACACACACACACACACACATATATATATATATACACATACATATATATGTATACATATATATGTGTATATATAGTGTTTCTAAAGCCAGTAGATACCTTGTAGTTACTTTTGTGTCCAGATGACTGTTGAGAGAAAGCTCCTTGAGAGAGGGGCCCTTGGCCAGGGCTACCTGACATGTCTCTTCAAGTTATACCCTAAGAGAAGGGCACTATCCAGGCAGGTGTGCATCCTGCCTGGTGGGGTGTGGTGAGCTGAGGTGCCCTAACATTGCAACTGCTGTGGCTTAGAGTGCTGCATGGTGGTATCAGTGGTTTCCCTGTGATCACCTGACTGAGATCTGCCTGCCACTGTCACAGGCATCAAGCGTATGGTGCCACCTGCTGACAGCAAAGGAGGTCCCAGTTCAAAGTCAGTGCAGCTTTCCAGGCATTCTTGCTGCTTTCCTACAGTAGTCATGTTTGCTACACAGGGTGTTCCAGTCATGTTCTGCATCCTGGGTTTTCTCCCCATGTCTTAGCCAAAAAAAAAAAGTAGACAAGGGAAATCATAACTTTAAAATTGTACTTTAAGAAAACTAGTTTGTTCGCAAGGACCTGAGTTTGATCCCCAGTACCAAAAAAGAAAAAAGAAAACTAGTTTGTGGACAGTTACTTTACATTATCCATGTCAATGTTCTTCCAGGTTTAACACTTCTCCCAGGCCATCCACACCCAGATCCTTAGATACTAGGTTTATCAGTTTGGTTGACACAGGGCAGAAATCTGATCTTAGGACAAATAATGGATTCAATTCAATTTTGGGGACAAAACATTTTAGATCACCCCTTTTTACCCCCAGTACTCTTGTGTGCGTGTTGCTGTTTTGAGACAGGGTCTCGCTCTAGTTCAGCCTGGCCTTGAATACACAATGCCTGGAACTCGAGATCCTCCTGTCTCCCGCCTCAGCCTCCCCAATGCTTGGATTACAGGCTTGTGCCATCACACCCTGCTCTCCAGTCAGCTAGTCTTGAAACTACCAGGTGTGGCCAGTGTGCCCTGTGCAGCCTGGACACCTAGTAATATGTCCCCAAAGATCATAAACTTGCTTGAGACAGGGTCTCGCAGACCTGAACTCACTACATGGCCCAGGCTGACCTCGAACTTGGTGATCCTCCTGCCTCAGCCTCCTGAGTAGTTGGAGTGACAGGCACACGCCACCACGTCAGCTCTTGTAGTCTCTCTTTATGGGTTTTTCCTTACGTTTGAGCCACAGTTTTCTGCTTTGTAAAACCGCTTGGAGTGGGTTCCACGTGCGACTCCGGTCACTGAGCGCGCGCCCGCGAGGAACTGAACAGTGGGGCGCACGGAAGCCCGACCCGCGCCGCTCGGAGATGGGCCCTTCTAGGGCTCGCGAGAACGGCTCCGCCCCGCCGGCTCTCAGCCAATGGTAGGGCTTCACGCCACGGGACCGACGGGCGTGGCATCT